ATTTAAAATTATTTCTCCAATCTTACTATTTTTGCATTTATCAGCAATATCAATAAACAAAAATCAGCTGTGGTATGAAGATGCGTGAAAAACCTAACAGTATAATATCTGAAATGTAAACAAACTTGGTGTGCTCCTTTTGGTCATATTTCACAACTCATGGTTGTACGAATGGCTGGCGAACGAACACAAAGATGAAACGCCAGCTATTAGCTTTAAACGTTTTGCTACTTTGTGTTCTTTTCATTCATTTGGTCTGTGAACATTTATTCGCCTGCGCGCTAGCGCTGCAAAATAATTGATGTTGACTGAACCTGTCAGATTTTTTTTACGTTTTTCCCAAAAATAAAACGGATTAAACGTAAAGCTGAACAAAATTAATTTTTATTGTCGTTTTCGAGAAGATCAGACATTTTCAGTGACATTTTAAAGTAATAATGTGCTTATTCAAGTATGCATTTGACTTTATACGATCAATCGTCTCTCCACAAACAAATCGATGTTTAACAAAAATACAGATACTACAAACTCATATTTTCGCCATTTGGTTAGTATATCAAATATATCTCTTTGGATTCTTGAACCGATCCACATGATGTCATTTAGACTTTTATTGCTTGTGCTTTTTGCTGATGCATCAAAAAACACTCTTAATTTGGTTGTAAGGCTTCAGTCTCTGATCACTGACTGATGGGGTAAATAATAAGCCTCTTCCCTGTTCGATTCAACCATGTGCTCTAATTCCATATATTCCTTCATAAACTTTGAATAATCTTCTTTAAGTTGTTTGTTGTTTTGAAACTTCTTCTCAAGGTTGAAAATACGTGCCATCGCTTGAGCTTTAGAATCTCCCAAGTCCTTAAATTCTTTAAACGGAATTGACATCTCTTTCTGTGGCTTTTATAAAAATTTTCCCAAAAAAATCTGCTTCTATTTCCTCATTATTCTCACTTTCTTCTTCAGATCAAGTTTGGTTATTCTAGCTCTTGTACTTTCTGAAATCCTTGCGTTCATACAGACGGACAGACACACAGACAAACAGACGGACATGGCTATATCTACTCGTCTTCTCATACTGATCCATAATATACATATTTACTTTGTGGGGTCTGCCACACCTGCTTCTTTGTGTTACATACCTTCGCACAAAAATAGTATACCCTTTCACCCTTTGGGTACAGGGTATAGTAGTAATAGTAACCATTTTAAAAAACCCTTAATTTCATTAAAAAAAATTAAACTTAACAGGAAAAAGGCAATATATACGTTTTCGAGGTTTTAGGTTTGTGCAAAGTATGTAACATACAGAAGGAATCATCTCCGACCCCATAAAGTATATATATTCTTGATCAGCATGACGAGAGAAATCGATCTAGACATGTCCGTCCGTCTGTCCGTCCGTCTGTCCGTCCGTCTGTCCGTCCGTCTGTCCGTCCGTCTGGATGAACGCGAGGATCTCGGAAACTATAAAAGCTAGAATAACCAAAGTTGGCATCCAGATTCTCCTAGATCCGAGTAAGGACGAGTTTATTTTTTTTATTTTTTATTTTCCCCCCCCCTTCCCCCGCTGCAGAATTTCGTCAATAGCGTCCACATTTCAAATGCTACCTAAACCAAACTTTGCACACATAATTAATAAATAAATTTCTACTGTTGTTTTATTCAATTCGGTCAATTCTAAGAAAAGTTATTAGCAAAACAAATTCTCGCTAGTACAACCCCCCCAAACTGCAGCAACAAGTTCGCTCTTCTTCTTCCTCTTTTTGTTGCTGCTATGGGCGCATATAACTCAGTGACGGAAGTTTACCTGGGTACAGGGTATTACACTGTCGGGCTTGCTCGACTGTAGCGTTCTCTCTTGTTCTTATTTATAACATTTTTTTCATATTTGGTCCAAAGACCCTTATCTTTAAATACACTAAGCGATTCGGCATACTATTAACTAAGTTTTGTATGTGGTTGCGTCGAATCTAGCACCAATCCGTCAAATCTGGGCTCTGAGCAGGCCACTACATAAGGTGAAAACTTTGGTCATGAACACAATTTTTCACTATTTTTGCCGTATGCCGTAACAACATTTGTCCTTAAAATCTGGCCCATTACCCACCAATGAGCCGACATTCCACCAAGTGAAGCAGCTCCAAACCATCACACTACCTCCTCCATGCTTGATTGTTTCTTTGACTTGGGTTTTTTTTACCTTTTTATGAGGTCGGTACTAGAAGTACTCCTTGCTATCAGACTAAAATCTGTATATTTTGGTATCATCAGACCAAATAACCTTATTCATATCTTCTCCTTGCTAAATTTTGGACGCAAATTTTTGGCCGATAGGGTCGGTTTCTTTTGTTTAATAGCCGTTGTGAAGCCAATTCTCTGCAGAGTTCGTTGTACCGTCCACTCACTAACGGGTTTTCAGATGGCCGTTGCAGCTTGTTTTGGTGTTGTCTGTTCATCCTGGTGGTCATGATATGCTCGGTACATGGTAAACATGTATCCACATGTGCTCGCTACTGTATATTCTTGTTCAGCATGACAAGACGAGTCGATCTAGCCCTGTATGTCCGTCTGTCCGTCCGTATGGTCACCTAGATCTCAGAGGATATAAGAGAAAGAGACACCGAATTTTGCAGAAAGATGCCTTATGTGTGTACGCTATACGAGTTTGTTTTTTTTCCCACAAGTTGCATTATGATGGGTCGATTTTAAATGAAGTATATATGTTCTCTCATGCCAAAAACATCCATGTCAACGGTTTGCAGGTTTATGCGACAAAATAGCGGTCAGTACAGATTTCAATGATAAAATTGAAATTGCTACTACTGGGCGCGATTTTGACGTCTGTACAATGTGACCCCCTGCAGAGTTGCGTTTGATAATGCCCTGGTGAAGTTTGTTTTATTATTCTGATGCACTCCCCACCCGTAATTCTTTGAACTTTTTAATCAAATTTGGTAATAATACCCCCTAGTGATTATGTGTCTGTATGTCAAGTTTTATCAAGATATGTTGCTTAGAAAGTAATAAGACTGTAGCGATCTCTCTTGTTTTAAATTATTATACTCTGTACCCGAAGGGTGAAAGGGTTTGTTTTGTGTGAATGTATGTAACTTACAGAAGGAGGCGTGGCAGACCCCCAAAAGTAAATATATTAGTGATCAGGATGAAAAGACGAGCCGATATAGCCATGTCCGTTTGTCTGTCCGACTGTCCGTCCGTATGAACGCAAGGATCTCAGAAAGTATAAGGGCTAGATCAATCAAACTTGGTATCCAGATTCTCCTAAGACCGACAAAGTACGAGTTTCAGTTTGATTTTCGATGCACTCCCCCGCAATTCGTGTTTTTTCAATAACTCCCGTAATTTTTGGAATTTTGTGCTCAGTTTGGCAAATACCTCCAGTTAGTGATTATGAGTCCGTATGCCAAGTTTTATTACTATAGGTTAATTAATGACCATTATGACAGGACGAGTCGATATAGCCACGTCCGTCTGTCTATCCGCCTGTCCGTCCGTATGAACGCAAGGATAGGCAGTACTAGTTTTGTGTTTCAACAGTAACATATACTATACATCAGAATCGTGTATCGGGTGCATCGAAAAAAACTATAAAAAGCAATCCTGGAGAAGAACGTTTACGGATTGTAGAAGCTGTGACGGTCGCCAGGGGCTGCACTCGTCCGCTAGTACCTCTGGGTGCCTGTCGCAGTTTTCCTGTCTCCGTTGTTATTGCCTTTGTTGGCCAGCTGTTGACATAGGTCAGCTGGGGCTTTCACCGCCAGCGTTGCCCCCTGTCCGTCTCGTGTTGTGGGGCTGCAGCTATTTGCCACGTTCTGTTATTCACTTTTTGCAATTTGAGGTATTGCAATCCTAATTTTTTCCATTTTTCACGTTCTTGCAATTATTCCTGTGCACAATCTCGCCTTGGGTATGTAAACAATTTTCAAAATATGTTTTTCGCTATCACCTGGACAGAACTTCTAAACGCAGACAAGACTGTTGGAATGTCGTTGTGTCTCGGCAGCTGTGGTTTTATCGTTTCGCAAAATGGATTCAAGTGCTCTAAAATACTTAAAATGTTGACAGTGGCGTAGGGGTAGCGAAGATACCGACGACGACCTCTGGCCACCCCAGCACATCAAAACAGAATTCAGTGATGATCTTGATTTGCTCAAAAGAGTTATAACTGGTGACTGGTTATGACGTCGAAACCAAAGCCCACTAGAAGCACTCATGACCGAAAAAATAGAAAATAGCCGAGTACAAAGAACAAACCAAGTATGCTATGCACTTGAAACTGTCAACACCCGTTCGGGACATGTACTTGCTGCTCAACAACAACTGCAAAAACAAGTGGAGAAGCTAAAGTTGGGTGCCTCGACTTTGAAATACTCTGTACATACAAGGTGAAATTGATGGAAATGGAATTGAACATCTCCAAAACATCGATTTATCGCATTTTGACCGAACATTTGGGCTTACGAAAGGTGTGTGCACGGTTTGTTCCGCACAAATTGACTGACGACCGAAAATTGCTCAGGCGATCGACACTTCTGACCGATTATTTGACCAAAAATCAGATTTTAACCATTAACCACTCGCCGTATTCACTTGATATGGCACCGTGCGACTTCTACCTTTTCGGAAAAATGCATTTGCCCATGAAAGGAAGGCGTTATGCAGACGTAGAGTCCATTCAAAAGGCTTGCACCGGCATACTGGCGGCAATACCGGCCAACGAGCTAAAACACTCGTTCGACATGCTTTTGGATCGTGCAAAAAGCTGTATTGAAGCAGAAGAAGACTATTTTGGATAAAATAAATTGATTTTGCCGAAAAAACCATTTGTTCTGTTTTTTTTTTAAAGTCCTGTTTACTTTGGAACACACCTTGTATGTATGTGTAGAATAATTATAGTGTCGTGTCTTGCCGAATATAGCCGGCAAAGCAAAGATCTTATAAAAATGCACTTTCATAAAAACCAATCTATTTCTTTGCAGGGTCGTCCGTGAATCTGTCATCTAACTATATTAGACTGGAATCTGACCCAAATAAGGGCGTATATGTTTATGAAGTACGTTTTAATCCTTCTATTGACTCCGTTCATTTAAGAATGAAATACTTGAACGAACACAAAGAAAAGATTGGAGGTACTACAACATTTGATGGTACGACTCTTTATCTACCGATTAAACTTGAAAATGAATTAACAACTTTTCTTTCAAAGAGTATAAACAACACTGAAATTGAACTGCGAATTCTATTTAAAAAAAAGGAGTCACTTAAAAATTGCATTCAACTATATAATATTTTATTTGATAGAGTTATGAGAACATTAAATTTTGTCAAATTTGATCGAAAACAATTTGACCCGTCAAATCCTAAAGTTATTCCTTCCGCTAAGCTTGAAGTCTGGCCAGGCTATGTAACAGCAGTTGACGAATTTGACGGAGGTCTGATGCTGTGCTGTGATGTATCTCATCGTTTACTCAGTCAAAAGACAGTACTGGAAATGCTTATTGAAATATATCGACAGGATAAAAGCAAATATCAAGAAAGTGCTAAAAAGGTTCTTCTTGGAAATATAATTATTACGCGTTATAATAACAAAAACTATAGAATTGATGATATATATTTTGATCAAAATCCGCTTTCGGAATTTGAGACAAGTTCGGGATCTATAAGCTATGTGGATTATTACCATAAACATCACAATATAAACATTAAAGACATAAAGCAGCCCTTACTTTTGAGTCTAAAAAAACAAAGGGGTAGTGAAACATTAATAGCCGAGGATATACGATTTTGTTTGGTTCCGGAGCTATGCTACCTTACTGGTATTCGTGACGAAATCCGAGCGGATAATAGACTAATGCGTGAGATTGCAACGATTACAAGAGTTTCGCCAAATCAGCGAATGGTTGCGCTTGAAAAATTCTACAATAATGTATCCAAAACCAGGGCTGCTCGAGAAATTCTTGAAAAGTGGGGTTTGTCGTTATTGAATACTCATAATAGTCTATTAGGCAGAATTATGGACTTAGAGAACATATATTTTGCGAAAAATATAGTTTGCGCTGGACAGAAAGCTGAATTTTCAAAAGATGCACTAAATAATGAAATTTTAAATATTGTTCATATGAGAAATTGGATTCTTATACATTTCAAAAATGATTCACGAGCTGTAAAAGCACTGATCGACAATATGGACCGCTGTTGTAACGCGTTCGGAATGCATGTTTCAAAACCCAAAATAATTTCATTGGATAAGGATCGTGCTGATTTTTTTGTTAATGCCTTGCGTCGAAATATTAACAAGGATAGTCAAATTGTGGTTTGCATTTGTCCCAACAGCAGAGAAGACAGATATTCTGCCATAAAGAAAATTTGTTGTTCAGAACTGCCTATACCATCACAGGTAAGAATATTATCATTATTGACAACAACGAAATGAAAAAAAAAATTAATTTATTAAGTTAAATATTTTTAAAATATTCAACACGTTCATACATAAGTGTTTATGTAAAACAGCATACATTTATAGCATACCCTATCATAATGAAACTTGGTATACGGATATACAATCACTAACTGGATGTCCCAACCTACAGACAAACGGATAGACGGACATGGCTATATCGACTCGGCTTGTCATGCTGATCAAGAATATATATACTTTGTGGGGTCTGCCACGCTTCCTTCTGTGTGCTCCATGTGGTTATGTGTGTGTTTAAGAAAATATTTTGGCAAGAACAAGAAGAGAGAACGCTACAGTCGAGCAAGCATGACAGTGAAATACCCTTTACCCAGGTAAGCTTCCGTCACTGAGTTATATGCGCCCATAGCAGCAGCAAAAAGAGGAAGAAGAAGAGCGAATTTGTTGCTGCAGTTTAGGGGGTTGTACTGGAGAAAAATTGTTTCGCTAATAACTTTTCTTAGAATTAACCGATTTAGATGAAATTTGAAACAAAAGTAGACTATTGTGTATGAATTATGAGTGCAAAGTTTGGTTAATGTAACATTTGAAATGTGGATGGTATGCACGAAATTCTGTAGCGGGGGAAGGGTGGGAAATTCCAAAAAATAAAATAAACTCTTCTCAGACCTAGGAGAATCTGGATACCAACTTTGGTTGTTCCAGCTTTTATAGTTTCTGAGATCCTTGCGCTCTTCCAGACGGACAGACGGACAGACGGACATGTCTAGATAGTCATGCTGATTCAGAATATATATACTTTATGGGATCGGAGATGCTTCCTTCTGCATGTTACATACTTTGCACAAACCTAATATACCCTTTCTACCCTACGGGTACACGGTATAAAAATGTACCAGAATACTAAAAAATTTTTTGTCAAGAGTGTTCATTAAAATACCTTAAATGCCTTCCTACTGGTAACTAATAAGATGAAAACATATGGGTAGGTCATGCACACACAAAATAAATACAATTTGAAACATTATATTGAGTCGGGTTAAGACGGGCAATATCAGCTAGTGTACTTATATTCATTAATATTAATTCTGTTTGGCAATCCCCACAAAGAAGCAACAGCAACAGCTGCGGGCAGAGATTTCATTGATGGCTATTTGTTTCATCATAAACAGGACTTTTTGAATCTAGCGCCCCTTGGTGGCGCTATCTATATGTCGACTGGTGCGTTATAATCTGCTATCTTTATCGATTGTCCAGTGAGAATTGCATGACATTTCATCGATCGGAAGTGAAGTTATTGCGTTTTAAGTGTCAGTATGTTTGTGTTGTAGGTGCAAAAATGAGCTTATAACAAAGAGCCAACATTAAATTTTGTTTTAAAATTGGTAAAACTTTTACCGAAACGTTTCAATTGATGGAACAAGTTTATGGTGATGATTGCCTATCCCGTAGCAGAGTGCACGAGTGGTTTCAAAGTTTTCAAAGTGGTCGTGAGGACATAAATGACGATCAACATGTGGGCCAATCAAAATTTGTGATCACCAAAAATGCCATCAAAACAGTGCGTGAATTCATCAAAAATCATCCGCAATAATCATTGAAATTGATTGAAATGGAATTGAACATCTCCAAAACATCGATTTATCGCATTTTGACCGAACATTTGGGCTTACGAAAGGTGTGTGCACGGTTTGTTCCACACAAATTGACTGACGACCAAAAATTGCTCAGACGATCGACGCTTCTGACCGATTATTTGACCAAAAATCACATTTTAACCACTAAGAAGGGCTTTTGGAAATCATGCTCCCCAAGAGGGGAAAACGAGCTCCAAAGTTTGTTTGAAAATTCTGCATTTCTGCATTTCTGGTGATGATTGCCTATCCCGTAGCAGAGTGCACGAGTGGTTTCAACGTTTTCATGGTCGTGAGGACATAAATGACGATCAACATGTGGGCCAATCAAAATTTGTGATCACCAAAAATGCCATCAAAACAGTGCGTGAATTCATCAAAAATCATCCGCAATAATCATTGAAATTGATGGAAATGGAATTGAACATCTCCAAAACATCGATTTATCGCATTTTGACCGAACATTTGGGCTTACGAAAGGTGTGTGCACGGTTTGTTCCACACAAATTGACTGACGACCAAAAATTGCTCAGACGATCGACGCTTCTGACCGATTATTTGACCAAAAATCACATTTTAACCACTAAGAAGGGCTTTTGGAAATCATGCTCCCCAAGAGGGGAAAACGAGCTCCAAAGTTTGTTTGAAAATTCTGCATTTCTGCATTTCTGGTGATGATTGCCTATCCCGTAGCAGAGTGCACGAGTGGTTTCAACGTTTTCAAAGTGGTCGTGAGGACATAAATGACGATCAACATGTGGGCCAATCAAAATTTGTGATCACCAAAAATGCCATCAAAACAGTGCGTGAATTCATCAAAAATCATCCGCAATAATCATTGAAATTGATGGAAATGGAATTGAACATCTCCAAAACATCGATTTATCGCATTTTGACCGAACATTTGGGCTTACGAAAGGTGTGTGCACGGTTTGTTCCACACAAATTGACTGACGACCAAAAATTGCTCAGACGATCGACGCTTCTGACCGATTATTTGACCAAAAATCACATTTTAACCACTAAGAAGGGCTTTTGGAAATCATGCTCCCCAAGAGGGGAAAACGAGCTCTAAAGTTTGTTTGAAAATTCTGCATTTCTGCACCGATCAACTTTTGATTTGATTTTTATAATCTATAAAAGAATACAAACAAAACTGCATAATCAGATTTTCGAAATTTGTGGTGGAGCTTGAATTATTGGGGTTTTAATATTTATTCAAATGAAAAGTTTGTGTTATAAATTTTTTCCGATCGATTTCAAATTTGGGGACTGTAATCTACGTAACTAAATCTACAACTTTGCGTTCAAGGATTTTCAAAATATGCATTTTACAAATGCAGGCAGAACAAACAATACAAAATATCAAGCAGTTGGGGACAACTAAGTACACATACACACACACACACATGCAAGCAGCTGTTCGTGTAGTTGCGTGCAAACGATTGAAATAGCCACAGCAAAATGTGAGACACTAATGTGTGAATGTACACACATACATATGTACACATCTATGTATGTACATATGTATGTATGTTCATTCGTCTTGCACTGACAGAGCAAGAAATGTTAATTAATTAAAAATTATTTAACATTTTTAAAAGTAATTTTTTATAGCCTGTACCCAAAGGGTGAAAGGCTATACTAGTTTTGTGCGCATGTATGTAACACACAGAAGGAGGCTTGGCAGACCCCACAAAGTATATATATTTTTGATCAGGATGACAAGACGAGTCGATATAGCCATGTCCGTCTGTCTGTCTGTCCGTCTGTCTGTATGAGCGCAAGGATCTCAGTAAGTACAAGAGCTAGGATAACCAAAATTGGTATCAAGGTTCCTATAAGCCCTAGGCAGATCGAGTTTGTTTATTTTTTCTGATACACCCCCCCCACTCCCCCGCAATTCGTGTTTTTTTTTTTCATAACTCCCGTAATTCTCGGAATTTTGAAATCAATTTTGGTAGGTACATCCAGTTAGTACTAATGTTTCCGTGTGTAAAATCGCTGCTCATGCGCTGCCTGCAGCTCTGTCGATGTGTGCGGTTCTCTCATATGTATGTATGTATGTATGTATACATTGGACAATCGAGCACTGTTGTTTGATTGTAATAAATAATGTTCTATGGTTTTAAATCAAATTTTTTAAAACGAAAAACAACAACTGCAAGTCATTGGCTCGCGGTTATTTCGTTTTGATCATTTACGCCTCTTAATTTCAAAGGCAAAATGCCAAAGGTTTACAATTACCCTCGCTAGGCAACGACTGCGTAAGCGATAGTAAAGCAGAAACCGAAAGCGGACCTACACATATTCTGCTTCGCGTTGCGGGCAGATGTACATACAAGGTGCAATTCAAAGTAAACAGGACTTTTTGAAGCTAGCGCCCACTTTTGGCGCTATCTAAATGTCGACTGGTGCGTTAGAATCTGCTATCTTTATCGATTGTCCAGTGAGAATTGCATGACATTTCATCGATTGGAAGTGAAGTTATTGCGTTTTAAGTGTCAGTATGTTTGTGTTGTAGGTGCAAAAATGAGCTTGTAACAAAGAGCCAACATTAAATTTTGTTTCAATTGATGGAACAAGTTTATGGTGATGATTGCCTATCCCGTAGCAGAGTGCACGAGTGGTTTCAACGTTTTCAAAGTGGTCGTGAGGACATAAATGACGATTAACATGTGGGCCAATCAAAATTTGTGATCACCAAAAATGCCATCAAAACAGTGCGTGAATTCATCAAAAATCATCCGCAATAATCATTGAAATTGTTGGAAATGGAATTGAACATCTCCAAAACATCGATTTATCGCATTTTGACCGAACATTTGGGCTTACGAAAGGTGTGTGCACGGTTTGTTCCGCACAAATTGACTGACGACCAAAAATTGCTTAAAAATCAACCGATTGTGACCGATTATTTGACCAAAAATCACATTTTAACCATTAACCGCTCGCCGTATTCACCTGATATGGCACCGTGCGACTTCTACCTTTTCGGAAAACTACATTTGGCCATGAAAGGAAACCGCTATGCTGACGTTGATGCCATCCAACAGGCGGCGACCGCCATCCTCAACGCTATACCGACAAATGACCTAAAAAAGTCGTTCGATCACCTTCTTGAACGTTGTATTCAGGCGGAAGGAGACTATTTTGAAGGCGACCAAAAAATTTTTTCAAAAAAAAAAAAAATAGTTTTCGTTTTTTAATAAAAGTCCTGGAACTTTTGAATTGCACCTTGTATGTACATATGTATGTTTGTATATGATTTGTTCTAATTGATCTCAATAAATTATAAGATATTATTTAAAATTTCTGTTAATTGCATTCAAACTACGATGGAATTAT